TGATCTACCAAGTCCTTGCCAAAGGTTACTGAGATCAAGGGAGATGGAATGCAGTATATTACTGCAAGTAAGGAAGAATTTTCAAATTTACTTCTCAAAAGTAGTTAATTTTCTGGGCAGTGCCTGTGGCTCAGTGACCGGACCCATATATGGAGGGTGGCGGATTCAAACCCAACCCCAGTCAAAGTGCAACAAAAAATATCCAGGTCTTTTGGCGGGCACCTGTAGTCCCAGCTACTCAGGAGACTGAGGTAAGAGAATCACCTAAGCCCAAGAGCTGGAGGTTGCTGTGAGCTATGACGCCATGGAACTCTACCAAAAGTGACAAAGTGAGACTGTCTCTAAAAAAAAAAAAAGTAAGTTTTCTTTTAAAATGATCTTGAAGTCCTTCTAGAACAATGTTTTTCAAGTTTGTTTTTGTAATGGAACTCTAGATTTTTTCAGGGGAGACATTAGAAGCCCAGAATTGGATTAGTACTAATCTCTGGTTCATAACACACTCCCGTCTTCAGTCTATGACTGGCCTTTTTGTGTTAGTATGTAAATTTAATAATAAGAACTAGAAGTAGTCTCTATGTGGTTTTCAGAACAGCAGCACTAGCAGCATCTAGAACTTTTAGAAATGTATTCTTAGGCCCCATTCCCCACCTACCGAATCAGAAACTCTGGGGGTGGGGGTCAACAGTCTAGGTTTTAAGGAGCTCTCCAGGTGATTCTGGTGCTCACTAAAGTTTGAGAACCACTGAACTAAAATTAACAGTGATTTAGATCTGTATGCTGATTTTCTCCTCCTGTCTTCCTCTCACAGGTAATCATTATCTTGAATTTTGTACTTCTATATGTGTGTTATCACATATATAGTGTATCTAAGCACAATCATTTAATTTCACTTCGATTCAAGCATTCTAAAAAAGGATATGTGGGCTTGGTGCCTCTAGCTCAACAACTAGGGCACTATCACATACACTGGGTGGGTTCAAACCCAGCCTGGGCCTGCCACACAACAATGACAATTACAACAATAACAACAACAAAAAATAGCTGGTGTTTTGGCGGGCTCCTGTAGTCCCAGCTTCTTGGGAGGCTGAGGCAAGAGAATCGCTTAAGCCCAAGAGTTTGAGGTTGCTGTGAGCTACGACACCACAGCACTCTACCGAGATAAATGAGACTCTGTCTCAAAAAAAAAAAAAAAGAATAGTTTATACTCCCATCAACAACATATCCTTGAAGAGGTTTCTCCAATATTTGGTATGATCTGTTTTCTTAATTTTGGTCAGTCAACTGAGTATAAAGTGTTATCTCTTAAACACACATAGTAGCACTAGTCACAATAGCCAAGAGGTGGAGACAACCCAAGTCCCCATCATCTGAGGAATGGATAAACAAATGGGATACATCTAGACAATGGAATAGCCATTAAAAGAAACAAAGTACTGATACATGTTAATACATAGATGAACCTTTATAACATTATGCTAAGTAAAATACACCAGACACAAAAGGCCATATATTGTATGATTCCATTAAATGAAGTATCCAGAGTATGAAAATCTATAGAGACAGGCGGCACCCATAGCTCAGTCGGTAGGGTGCCAGCCACATACACCGAGGCTGACGGGTTCAAACCTGGCCCGGGCCTATTAAACGACAATGACAACTGCAACAAAAAAATAGCCGGGCATTGTGGTGGGCACCTGTAGTCCCAGCTAGTTGAGAGGCTGAAGCAAGAGAATGGCTTAAGCCCAAGAGTTTGAGGTTGCTATGAGCTGTGACGCCATAGCACCCTACTGAGGGCGACATAGTGAGACTCTGTCTCAAAAAAAAAAAAATGAAGGCTCGGCGCCTGTGGCTCAAG